AAAAAAAAAAAAAATTATTTATTTATTTATTTTTTTTTTTTGAATTTCCTAACACACTTTCATGAGTGACCAATTACAAGTGATGTTATGAACTGATTTTTGCAGTGGCAATTTGGGATCAAATCGTGCTACCATGAAAATGTGGGGATTATTATTGTCAGGATTGTATTAGCGTGAGTATGATTAATTTCAGGAAGATTCTACGGTCCCGTTACGAAATTATTCCGTCAGAGTTTGTAACCGTTAGATCACTATCCTCGACGATTACACGATGATCTAACGGTTACAAACTCCAATGGAATGATTCCGTATCGGAATCGTAGCATTTCCCTTAATTTCATAGCTATTTCATAATCATAAGATTAGAAAATAAAATGTTTTGCTAAAAAAAAATAGAATAATTACAATTGACACAACTAAATAAATGTTTTAACATTTTGCAGGGTTATGGTGCAAGTCATTTGCGGTTACATCACTCTTCCTCTCTATGCTCTTGTTACTCAGGTTGTTTATTTTCTTATTAGCACTTAAATTTATTACATAAGTAGTAAATATTAATAATGTTATAAATGATTTTTAACTAGAAGTATGCCCAAAACCGAATTTTTTAGCCGTTGGAATAACACACACTCATGTAGATATGTGTGTGAGATCCAATAGTACAAATCCCACATCGAGTTTGCCCTTATGAGAACTTAAAAAAACTCACAATAACAAGCAAAAGTTTATCCACGATTGGTTAAGGGTCGAGTGAACACCAAGAGCGAAAGCACTCTGCTGGGTCGACACTCTTTCTCTTATAGTTAGAGTATAGTAGCTTGGGAAATACTTGGCAATGATTCGGATCTAGTTCATGGCCTGTTGTACCCAGAAAAGGATATAACATTCCGACTTCTCCTTCGCTATAGTCTCCGCACTTTCCTCCCCCTACTGAGACTGATAACAACTGACTGCCTATCTATCCTACTAGAGTTTGACTCGATTTCCTTTATGTATTCCCCGTAAACAAAGTTTTCATTATACTTCAAACTTTTGCAGATGGGGTCTCAATACAAGAATGCAATACTCGAAGAACACACATTCCACGCAATCAAACAATGGCACGCGAACGTCAAGGAGAAGAGAAAGAACACAAATAGCTCGATTCAAGACACAAATAATCCCAACTCGAGTCTCTCTCCCCACAGACGAACACCGACTCCTTCGGGATTCAGTTCGCGTGGTGGGCCCACCACCCCTCACGAGATCACGGAGATTTCGGAAGTTGAATTAACCCACAATGATAATAATGTCCCAATGCATGATAGAAGATTGTAATCAAGAGATTTGTCTCGAGATGTAATAAATATTAATACTTACCTCACTGTCTTTTTTTGAATTTTTTCACTCTTATTTAATATTTTTCGTAAGAGATAACATCACGAAAATGGTGTTCGTAAGTAGCAATCACAATATAACAAACATTAAGACACGAGGTTTTTTCACATGGTAGGAGAAGAATATGAAGGCTGGCCTACAGATGATGACTTGGACATGTCGGGCCCGGGTAAAGTTGGTTCTTCCAAGCAGCTTTTCGCGTCGTCACTCGTTATCCCGACCGATAGTTTCTCGACTTCCTCTTGGGTGTATATGTGGATCTTGGTGGCTACCTCAACAAACTCACTGCATTTTT